CCCCCACTGCCATGTGCTGCTCCTGCCCTCTGCCTTGGAGCTGCTCCCCGAGACTCCTGCTTGCTGTGGGGGGGGAGGGGAGGAAGGAGGGGGATGTCAGGGTGTGCCCTCCCCCGCTCCTGCACCCCGCTTACCCCATCTTCCATAGAGCAGGGGGGACACACGACAGGGTTCAGGAGGGAAGGAGCTTGCTGGCAGCAGCTGAGGTCTCAGCAAGCTGATCTAATTAACAAGGCAGTGTACTTAAAGGGGAAATGCGCATCTCTCTCTCACACACGCGTGTGTCTCTGTCTGCAATGCTGTCTCCCCTCCCTCCATTCCTGCTGCCTTGTAGAGTGAGAGAGTTAACCCTTGAGGGTTCAACCAATTGCTAGTTCATCATTTAGCAGTAAGGCATTCCCTGGGAAATATCTTACCCTCTGACTCCTCCACCTCAACCAAGCTTCACAATCATCATCACCACTGTGTACCAATATTAAATTGTTTGTTTAAAACTTATTGTGTGTGTGGTCTTTTGTCTGGTTGAAAAAAATTCCCTGGAACCTAACCCCCTCATTTACTTTAATTCGTATGGGGAAATTGGATTCACTTAACATCGTTTCGCTTACAGTCGCATTTTTCAGGAACATAACTACAATGTTAAGTGAGGAGTTACTGTATACATTAGGTAGGAATTTTTGGCATATAGGAGAGAATGTGTGAACAATCTTGGTAATTTGCTAACAATTTGAGGACTTAATCCCAGAGAAGGATAGAGGAAAACCCCCCACCTGTTAAAATATTCCAGCTCTGGCAGTGCTCAATGTAGTAAGATGAGGCCCTGAAACAAACTCTTGTGTCAGAGGCCCAGTCTGAGGCCTGAAGCCTGAACCAAAGTACTTCCAGTCATTGCTAAGCAAAAGCTGGTCTGTGAGCCAGAGGCAGGCCCCACTCACAGAAGATGGTTGCTAGAAGCAGGTGCATCCACACAAGTGCTAATAAGAGGAACTTGTGCCAAGATGACATCAGAACACTCCACAGAGATAACAAGGAACAGGCAGGTGCATCTTAAAGACAGGATCAAAAGGACAGCATGATGGATAGATCTGTTTGAAACAACATGATCAAAGGGGGAGACAGCACCCTAATGAGCCAAGGGGCTGTACTTCAATACGTCAGTTGGGATGAGTAATCTGTCCTGTAACTGTATAAAAGTAGGTCCCGGAGTGCGCATCTTTGTTTGACCTAGGGGGCAGTGGAAAGTCCCGCCACTGACTCAGCCGGTCCATTGCCAGGGGGCACAAATTCGTAGTATGTCTTGTAGAGTCTATGGGAAACTATTACTGTGCTTCGTTTGACAATAAACCTGGCTCGGGTTCCTTCGTAGAGTCTGTGGTCTTTGGGGGTTCTCTCAGGGTCTGCTGTGTCAGCTATCTGCACAGAACTAGGGCAGCACACAGAGGGAACACGCACGCAGCCGACTGTTATCAACAAACAAGAGCAGAGCACCACACTGGTAGCTACTGACAACACTCAACACTGGATGCTTTAAAAGGTAATCTCCCCCATCACCCCGCCAAATGTTGCATTTACTTATATGATATTATACTATGGGGGAAAATGTTCCTCTGACCCCAGCCAGTGATCATTTTATGTCCTAAGGATTTATACCCCTTATAACATTTTTATCCTAGCTAGTGTAACTACACTTTTTCATAATTAAAGCTATGTCCAATTATGTTTCTGAATCTTACTAAGCAGCCTCAACAACATCCTACAACAGTGAATTCTAAAGGCCAAGTGTTGGGGGAGTATAGTTTTTATACAGTTTAAGTCTGCTGCAGGACTGGAATATTTTAACACCAATGTTTGTTCCAGGATCAGAAATTTCTACTAGTCCTAAAAGCATGGATCATGGTCCATCCAAATATCTGTAACTGTCAGGTCATGTGACAGAGTTTAAAAATGACACCATTCTGATTAGCATCTTGTTCTCCTCATTTCTCCTTCCACTAACCATTTTAGCTGCTGCTATCTCACAATCTACAAGAATTAGAAAATTACACCTATCAACTGGAACCTATAATTCTCAGAAGCGTGCAGATAGTTTATACACCAATCACTAGTTTTAGCTGTTTTCTAGACATCAGCCACTAAAATCAGGTCAGAAATCAAGTGTGTGTGGAGGGGTGGGGGGGGGGAGAGGAGGGAGGTAAAAATGAAGATGAAATCAGAATGTAGAAGTTTTAGAAGGAGAGGCACTCTTACAACCTGTCACTTAAATCGATGTTTCTATTACTCTAGTTTGTGGAGCAGCTTCTGTCACAATGGAAAAACGTGTGTTATAAGGATTGATGTTTTCTGCTACGTGTAGGCTAGTCAAAAACATTCAGATTTCTACAGGCTTTTTTCTTTCTTTCTTTCTTTCTTTCTTTCTTTTTTTTTATAAAGTTGCTCAAAAGCCTCTCTGCATCCCTATGGTGCTTTGCATCTTTATTTGATGTGAATACAACTTATGACACCAGAACTGAAGACATCCAACAGGAGAGAACCAAACCACAAAGTGAACTGGACAGATTTAAGGGAAGAAAAGGGATGAAGAAGGTTGGAGGTAACAAGGAGAGATTCAGTTCTAAGAAATGTAAATTCCTATTTCCCAGTGTAGGGTGTGTGAGTGAAAGACATACAAAATGGAGGAGGCATAATCAAGCAGCTACACCCACTGCACTACAGCAAGTTCAGCACCATCTTGACTCCTCCATCTTATCCCAGTAATGCTATTTCATATAGCCATGAACTGGAGATGATGTAGGGAATGTGTGGAATCGGAACTTGGAGGGAAGATGTCCACAAGAGAATCTTTGGTCCACAATGTGGAGTCCAAAAACCACTGCCTTAAACCATTGGGAAGCTGGGATTCTCAGCACCCATTTCTAACCCAGATGGTTCAAGAGAGTGACTTTAAAATGGGTGCTGGCCCTTCAGTTCACTATGCCCATTTGTTACTAGATAACAGGAGAGGCTTAAAAGAAGTCTCCATCTAACAAATTCTTCTGCTCTTACCTTGTGGAGCTGGGGGCATATCCTGGAGATCTACTGGCTGTCCACTGTCCAGTGCTTCTAAGACCATTGTAAATTTCTAAAACAAACAGAAAAACAAAGCCAAAGGAGACTTATTCTTGTGTGTTCAGAAACCATCTGTGATCATGTGGAGCAGCCATGTGAGCACAGGGAGCATTTGCCAGGATTGAGACTCCTAACACAGAAGCTTGGTTTGTGAATAGCATACCTTGCCAGTCTTCATATATTCTTTTGCCTTCTCTAGATCTCCTTGCTGTTTGGCTTTCAGAGCTGCTAATTTATACTCTTTCTGTCTTGTAACCAGTAGTGTTCGTGTGCTTGTGCTAAGGGAATCTACGTAAGAATGAAATCAAGACTTATATAAGCACCTCATATCTGCATCCTTTGACATTCTCATACATCCAAAGATCCATTATTTCCTTATTGCTTTGACTCACACGTTCACATTATGTACAGTGGCTTCTTTATCCAGGGGCATCCCCAGAAGTCCTGCCAACCATGGCAATTCCAGCAACAATGACAAACCACCACTGTGCAATTCCACAGTGCCTTTCATTAAGATCACAAAGTTCTTTACAAACAGTGAATTTTGCCTCACAGCTCCTCTGCCAGGCAGGGAAGCATTACCATAATTTATTGACTGAGGAACTGAGGCAGAGAGACCATAATAAGAGACATGTACAGACACCTCAGCAGAGGAAGGAACCTTTAGGAAGTCTTCATCCTGTGACTATAGCACATCTTAAGATGAAATCTGTGAGTCAGGACTCCCAAATTCTATTCCTGACTGCAACTGACTCAATTAAGTGACCCTGAGCAAGCCATGAACTCTCTGCCTCAGTATCCTATTTGTAAAGCACTTTGATATGCTCACGTAAAAGGTGCTACAGAAGTGCAATGTATTATTGAATCATAACCTGGCTGGGAAGATGTGTGCTCCAAGGAAGGCTGGCATGTTGAAATTACCTACCATCTTGTAATGTAGTACCCATTTCTAGGACAGAAGTAGCAGCAGCATGACATTGTAAAGAGGATGACCCCGGAGACAACTTCATATCATTGACAGGCTGTAGCTCATGGTCTGCAGAGGATTCCACTTTCTCCTTGGGTATTACTTTGGTTGGATCACCTAAACTCTCTGGCACAGCTCCTGTGGTTTGAGGCATATTAGCAGAGCTTCTCCCTGATGCTACAGGGGGTGGCATTTCTTCCTCATTGATCTTTTTGCCCTTCTTCATTGCAGCCAACATGGTTTCCAGTGTCTAGCAAAAATTGAGGAGTGAAGTCAACAGGTACTGGCATTTCCATCACATACACAACTTGTGTACAATCACCACAACTCAGCAAACTCATACCCTTATTTACAACAGCAACCACCACGTCATTCTTTTTGGAGAGCTACTAGATATCTTTGCCCATTAGCATTTCCCTCTCCTATTTTCTTGGTCACATGGGAGTCCTAGCCCTGGTGAAAGATGCCTGATTGACACAGCAGCACACAGTAACAATTTTTCTCTATCGAGCAAGTAATGCAAGCTTCCTCCAGTCTATCCTGTCAATGTATTACAACATACATGGTGGTAGAGGATCCTACCTCTAGTAGTGAGAAGACACGTCAGTCTCTATGGCCCAATCAATCTTTTGTGACTCAGACTTCCAAAATGTGAGCCATTCAGTGCCAACTGTGGAACTAGTTTTTGTAGCAAGTCTAGGTATATTTTAAACACAGCCTTCAGTGTGGTATCTTAGTGCAAGTGCAGATCTCTGTCCAGCAGATCTGGAATGAAATCACCAAATTCATTTCACATGGCCCAGGCAGCCATCAGATGGTAACAGCCAGAACTGGATTTGAACCAGCTTTTGAGAGGTGAAAAGCCCCTGGCTCCTATTTCCAAACTCATGAGCTACATAGTCCCCTTGCTAAGTAACAAAGCTCAATTTCAGCTCAGTTCTTTATCCCAACACCAAACATTATCCCCATTACAGGGGCTACTTAACACCTAGGTTAGGCAACAAAGCCAAAAAAGTAATATGACTTCACAGCAGAACATGCATTTACCTTCTACAAGTCATCTCACTGGCTAAAATGGTAACAAGACATTAAAAAACCCAAACAATGACAAGGCTGGAATTTGTACTTTCAGAAAACTAGTCATCACACTGTTTAATAAGCAATGTTTTTATAACTATTAGGGGCCGGCTCTGTGGGAGATCTGGGTTCAAATCATATCCAGACAGAGTCTCACCTACCCACTGCTGCTGCAGACCCAGAAAAGACTTGAGTGCTGAGAGATCAACATATGTAGTATGAAGAGGCAGGATTAGGAGAGAAATGCCAGCATAGAATCATAGAAATGTAAGGCTGGAAGGGACCTTGAGAAGTCATTGAGTCCGGTCCCTGTGCTGGTGCAGGACCAAGTAAACCCAGACTATAACTGACAGGTGTTTGTCTAACCTTTCTTAAACAACCTCCAGTGAAGGGGATTTCACAACCTCCCTTGAAAGCCTATTCCAGTGCTTCACTATCCTACAGTTAGAAAGTTTTTTCCTAATATCTAACCTAAATCTCCCTTAAGTCCATTGCTTCTTGTCCTACATTCAGTGGACATGGAGAACAACTGATCATAGTCCTCTTCATAACAGCCCTTAACACATCTGAAGACTTATCAGGTCTCCCCTCAGTCTTCTTTTCTCAAGACTAAACATGTCCAGTTTTTTTAACCTTTCCTCATAGGCCAGATTTTCTAAACCTTTTATCATTTTTGTAGCTTTCCTCTGGACTCTCTCCAATTTGTCTACATCCTTCCTAAAGTGTTGCATCCAAAAATGAACATAGAACAAAGGCCTCACCAGTGTTAATATACCCCCAAAACATTAGCTTTTTTTTTTTGGCAACTGCACCACATTGCTGACTGATATTCAATTTGTGACCCAGTATAATTTTCTTTTCAGCAATACTACCATGTAGCCAGTTATTCCCCATTTTGTAGTTTTACATTTGATTTTTTCCTTCCTAATTAAAGTACTTTACACTTATCTTTATTGAATTTCATCTTCCTGATTTCAATCCATTCTCCAATTTGCCAAGATAGTTTTGAATTCTAATCCTGTCCTCCAAAGCACATGCAGCTGCTCCCAGCTTGATGTCATTCTCAAATTTTATAAGCACACTCTCCACTCCATTACCAAGTCATTAATGAAAGTAGTGAATAGTACCAGATCTAGACTGACCCGAGAACCCCACTAGATACACCCTGCCAGTTCAACAGCGAACCATAGATAACTACTCTTTGAGTACAGTCTTTCAACCAGTTGTGCACCCACCTTATAGTAATTTCATCTAGACTGCATTGCTTGAGTTTAATTATGAGGAAGTCATGTGGAACTGTGTCAAAACAGCCTAATTAAAATCAAGATGTATTAAGTCTACTGTTTCCCTCCTATCCACTAGCCCAGTAACCCTGTCAAAGAAGGAAATTAGGTTGGTTTGGCATGATTTGTTCTTGACAAATCCAAGCAGGCTATAAGCCTGTTATCATTCAGGTGCTTACAACATGATTGTTTAATAATTTGTTCCAGTATCTTTCCAGGTGCTGAAGTCTGGCAAACTGGTCTTTAATTCTCTTGGTCCTCTTTGTTCCCCTGTTTAAAAAAAGATAGGTACTGTGTTTGTCCTTTTCCAGTCCTTTGGGACCTCACCATCCTCCATGAGTTCTCAAAGTGCTAATGGTTCTAAGATTGCTTCAGGTAGCTCCTTAAGTACCCTAGGATGAATATCATCAGACTTGAAGACCTGAATATCTCTAACTTATCTAAATATTCTTTAGCCTGTTCCTTCCCAGTTTTGGCTTGCATTCCTTCTCTCTTGTTATTATTGTGTTGAGTACCTGGTCACCATTAATCTTTTTAGTGAAGACTGAAGCAAAATAGGCATTAAATACCTCAGCCTTCTTGATGCCACCAGTTATGAACACTCCTTCCCCACCAAGCAGAGAACCTACATTTTCCTTTGTCTTTCTCTTGCTCCTAATATCATTTATAGAATGTCACCTTATTGCCTTGTATGACACTGTATGGAATATGAGTGACCATTTGTAATATTACTGATACGAATATTATAAATAGGGCCCTACCAAATTCTCAGTCCATTTTGGTCAATTTCAGTCAGAGGATTTTAAAAATCATAAATTTCATGATTTCAGCTATTTAAATCTGAAATTTCACAGTGCTGTAATTATAGGGGTCCTGATCTAAAAAGGAGTTTTGGGGGGGGGGAGGGGAGACAAGATTATTGTAAGGGGGGTTGCGGTACTGCTACCCTTACTTCAGCACTGCTTCTGGCAGCAGCGCTGCCTTCAGAACTGGGCAGCTGGAGAGTGGCGGCTGCTGGACGGGAGCCCAGCTCTGAAGGCAGAGCCACCACCAGCAGCAGCACAGAAGTAAGGATGGCAGGGTATGGTATTGCTATGCTTGCTTCTGTGTTGCTGCCTGCTGATTTGGGCCCTCAGCAGCTGCCACTTTCCGGCCACCCAGTTCTGAAGGCAGCGCAGAAGTAAGGGTGACAATACCATGACCCCCGTAAAATAACCTTGCAACCTCCCTGCAACTCCCTTTTGGGTCAGGGCCCCCAGTTTGAGAAATGCTGGTCTCCCCCATAAAATCTGTATAGTATAGGATAAAAGCACACAAAAGGCAAGATTTCACGGGGAGAGACCAGATTTCATAGTCCTTGGCGTGTTTTTCATGGCTGTGAACTTGGTAGGGCCCTAATTATAAAATTGCTATAAATCTTACAAAATATGCCATGTATCAGTGCAAAAGTTATGATTTGCTAAAGATGATAATCATGTTTATATGTATGTATCATCTTTGTACTATGAATTATAAATATGTGAGCTATATCTGTATCTCAAACTTTGTGCTGTGTTTCTGGGTGACATCCCCAGACAGACTGGCACCAGTACTATCTACCTTGCTTGATGGCCTATCAAAGGCCATCAGCTATACAATGAACCCATTGAGAGAAGGCAGGGGTTACACCTATGAGTTACCAGGACATATAGGGACATGCCTATGGACAGGGGGTTCCAAGGCTTTTCCATGCCATGTGCTGAGCTTGTGTTTGGGACAAAGGATGTACAAGCCACATGGCAAAGGACATAAAAGGCAGCTGCATCATCTCCATTTTGTCTTTAATCCTGCTTCCCACCTCTGGAGTAACTTAATTACAAACTGAAGCTTTGAACAAAGGACTGAATGACCCATCCAAGCTTTGGATATATTCCAGAGGGACTTTACATGCCAGCAAACTCACTCATGCTGCTAAGAACCTGATATATGGATTGTGAAGTTGTATGTATCTGACAGTTTGACAATTTAACGACTCTCTTCTTGTTCTTCTCTTTTCTAATAAACCTTTAGTTTTAGATACTAAAGGATTGGCTGACAGCATGATATTTTGGGTAAGATGCAAACTAATATTGATCTGGTGATGTGGCTGCCCTTTGGGGATGAAAAGAACATTTTTGTATAGTGAGAAGAGTTTTAAATAACTTCTCACTTTACAGGATCTATGTGCTAACTGGTAGCCAGAGATCTGGAATGCAGTAAACGGGGCTGTGTGATTTCTTTTTCAGCTTCTTGATAACCAGTGTGGGGAATCAGGTGCACAGGTTGGTGAGTCTAATTTCAGTGTTAATCACCAATTTTGGGAGAATCTGCTCTCCATTTGCAGCCTGCCCTGACCTTGGCATTTTCAGTGTGGGCTACCCTAGGCACCTACGGGTCACACCTTATATTTGTCTTGCTAGGTCTAACTCATTTTGTGCCTTAATCTTTCTGATTTTGTCCTTATACGCTTGTGCTATTCTTGTGTACACGACGCTCAGAAGCCAGTCTTTCGGACAATCAAGGAACAGCTTTGGACTGTGAAGGGAACTCTACTTTATTCTTAACTGTGACACTGGGATCTCAACAAGGAGTCTGGTGGCACCTTAAAGACTAACAGATATCTGTTAGTCTTTAAGGTGCCACCAGACTCCTTGTTGTTTTTGTAGATACAGACTAACACGGCTACCCCCTGATACTGGGATCTCACAGGCTGGTGGCAGGGTGTGTGGAAACTTCCCACACTGGAAAAACAATAACAAAATATGAAGCCTCAATAAGACAGTAAGTTTCTAGATTGGATAAAGCAGGCTTTTGGGTTTTTCCCTTAGGGAATGACTGCATGTACATTTCCTCCATGGCTAGTATGAATTGGACAGGACATAGAGCTCTTCCAGTTTGCACATTTCCTCTTCCAGGTCTGGCTCTCTCTTGATCCCTTATGTACACCAAGCCATTTAGCAGTTAAGAAGATGTAAGATTCTTCCCTCACTGGGATCTCTAAAGCTTTGGAACAAAACACAAAGCTAGTTGGAGTATGAGACGTGGTGGAGCAGAAGGCAAAGAAACAGGGAACTCACAACAGACTCCTCTTGCACAGCAAGAATCACCTGCCACCGCAGACTCAAACAGCAAATGCCGCTGTTTGGCTGAGAAGCGGCAAACCAGATTAAATTGTTCCTAGTGCACTCTACAATAGCCATATCAGGGGGAGAGACTGTTCCCATTTTCATTATTAAGTGCAGCTGAGGCACTCAGAGGGATTCCTGCCCTCAATGCAAACAAGCAATTTAGCAAAGCGAGTGGAAGGTTGGTACCTGGGAAAGGACGTTTTAACAAACAAACAGCTACGTGTGCTAGGGAAGTTACAATAATTTATTCAAAGGGGACACATTGTCACTTTAATAAACATAGGCCAAATTCAGATCTAGTGCAAGTGGGTGTGACCCTCATAGAAGTCAGAGGGCCAAATTCAGTAGTGACACAAGTTGGTCAGAAAACGGCATGTAAGTTACCTTCAGTCTGCACATCTACTGAATGCCAAATCTGGGCAAGTTACTGGGACACCACTTTACCATGTACACACATTGGGTGTGAATTAGTCCAAACATATATCTTGCATGACCTGTTTATTTCACTATTGAATTTATCCCCCATTTTTCAAACAAAAATTAATTACCCTGTGGTACTAGCACCACATCAGAACAACTGGAAGGATTTTTAGAATCAGGTTTAATGTCTAGTATTAATAGTATTGAATTACTGTTTGCAGTCATCTTGGAATACGAAGATATACTAGTCAGTTTCCTTGTTTATAGTGAGGCTCGGTTCCTGACTCTCATATGCTCTAGAAAATATTACAATGCGAGATTACAAACACTGCAGAGGATTGTTTAAATATTTTCCCCTTAGATTTCAAATAAAGAAAGTGAATGGAAACATTTCCACTGACCCTAGAAAATCATGTTTATACAAGACCTACATTTTTAAGCCTAATCTATTTGACAAGATTGCTTCAAATTAGAACTCAACAATGAACACATGGCACAGTCTCCTTAGTCTCTCCTGCACACAACACTTACAGTCAGAAAACCCAGAAAGCACCAAGTAATATTCCTGGATCAATTCTATCCTACATTTAACAAGGACTTTCCTCTTCCACTGAAAGCCGCCCTCCCCCACCCCTTCATGTAATGAATCCAACATACCTTGAGGCCTCTTTCGTACCGTCGCACTTTGCCACTCTCGTCTGCCTCCTTTGCATTAGAGATTGCTGCCTTATAGTTAGCTATTCTGTCCTCTATCGTCTGCTGCAATTCACTGGAAACAGCAGGAGATGTGATCTCAAAAAATAAAGTGTGGGGGGGAGTAAGGCACATTATTTACTTTCCCAAATTACACATGCTTCACCTTACCACTGAAAAGTAAGCATATCCCTTCTGTACAAAATAACACATGCACACAGACTGGGCTCAGGAATCAAGACAGCAGGAAATGGAAAATTTCTCTGAAATAGAAGGGCACTTGTACTGCACCAATGTTTCCTGGATACATCTCTGAGCTTCCTATCAAAGGAGCAATAGAGAGAATTGGGTGGAGTAGTTTAGGAAACTTACAGCCACAGGGTTACTGGAGACTGGGTGGTTAGGACTAAATGAGGGAGAACAGTGATGCCTCTCAGATATCATATGCCCAGATGGCCTGGGTGTTATTTTGGGGTGCGAATGTTTGTTTTCTTCACCATCTTAACTTTACATCTTTCGAGGATTCTCACAAATTGGCTTCAATACAAGATCTCCTCTTCCCACCTCCTCTAGTAAGGTGGAAAGTCTGCAGTCTGGGACTTGCCCAGTGAAACAAGTGACAGAAATAACCAGTTACCATCCACTACTTAAAAGCACTGTGGTTGTCAAATTGACCTGTCAGATGGCTCCTGATGTAATTATTGCCATTATCTCTACACAGACCTACTCTTGCCCTATTTATTAATATGCACAATGCACGGAAGTCCTGAAATCTGTATTGTATGACAACAGAAGAAAAGCAACAACTGAACAAAAAACTTGCCTGCGTAGAAAAATTCAATAGTAAACAGATTCTGAAATTCTACATAACTCAGCACCATTGACAGCCTGCTTAGGAGAGGCCTCAGGATTAAAACAGCAGTGGCTACTGCAAGTTAGGATTCAGGTGCACTGATAAAAGGTTGGGTGTGAGGCACAGGGGCAAAAAACATTGGGATGGTAGATAATTGGGATGCTGGAAATCAGGACTGAGATTTCGCTGCATGATGTACAGTAGAGCCCTGCAACCTGACCCGAATCCAACAGACCCAACTATGGAGTGTCGGGTCCAGGTAGGGTGGGAAAACAAACAGAACCCCCTGGACTCAGGTTGGTGCTCCTCTGACCTGTGGAACAGGTTACAGGGGTGGCTGTGTGCCCCTCTCCTGCTAGCAGTTGCCATCTCACTGCTTATTTGATTATAGGATGTTATAGGCCATGTGAGGGAGGCAGTATGGTCTAGCGGATAGAGACCTCGACTGGGACTCAGGAGACCTGGATGCCATTCCGAGCTCTGCCCTGGCCTGCTGGGTGATCTTGGGCAAGTCATTTCCCCTCTCTGTGCCACCTGTAAAATGATAATCATACGGACCTCCATTGCAAAGCACTTTGAGATCTACTGAAAGAGCACTATATAAGAACTAGGTATTACTACTGTTATGTGTAATGTAGCACAGCAGAACTGTGTGGAGTTTCTAGACTCATAAGAATACTACAAAGGGAATTAAGGAGCAATAGCAGAGCTGTAAGCTGCACAAAGGAAGTCTGCACACATTACTATTATTTATATAACACCATGGATGTGCTAAGAGATTTACAGGCAGCAAGACAAAATCCCTGCAAGAAGAGCTTACAACATATATTATGTTTGACTCTGTCTGGTGGTATTAGTTACTCATTTTCACAAACACCAAATTCATCTTAAGAACAATGCAAGATGAAATCTAACTATATCAATATAGTGTCAGCTCCCACCAGGAAACGTACAGATGTACAAAATAAGCCAGAATATAAAGCGAGCTTGTCATCTTATAAACTGCATAGTGAGAATGATTCAGTGAAACTCCAAGTCAACCACACATCTCTTTCTTACCTCTGCCTGCAGTTCAGGTTGCTGCTGTATTACTGGTGGAGCTGCTACCACCTCCATCGCTATGGTTTCATCCTCACCACTTTCTGTCTCGTCTTGCTTGCCCAGAACTTCCTGCAACTCTGCCTAGAGCAAGAATCAGTGAGGTGGTTACTGTAAAGCATGCTCTGCTTTCGGCACCACGTGAACAGATGCTGCAGGAACTAAAGCACCTCCCCACTGCCACAGTGAAAAGAACGATTCAGATCCTGAAGTCTTTTGCCCAAGGCAATGTTTCAGTGTAGATTATATGACAATTTGTGTCAAGAGTAACACACCTCCATGGGACACTGGCAAGTGATAATCAACAGTGGTGAGAGAGCTGGTCTGGAGAAAGTATGTACCTTCTGGCTCCAGAAACTAGAGTTAAACCTCAAACAGTCTTTGATGTCCCTAAGCTTCTCCTGCCTGACCTAATTTCAATTTGTTTTGCAGCTGACTCCACATACTCTGGTTCTGGCCAGGAGTGGAAATGTTCCGGCACAATTTGAAGGCAATTCCTGGGGAGCTCACAGCCCAACATATGGTGCTAAGGTCTCTTACACAACCCTTTTGTTGGGTAGCTCTCTGAGGACTGAAGAACATGCAGTAGCTAAGATAAGGATTTTATCTTTTCGAAGGTTGTCTAAACCCCAACTTCAAACCTCCAAATAGTCACCCTTCACTAATGACTGAACTAAGTGTAGTTTAGTGCACCCTCCATACAATCCACTCACACACAACACACTTTTAATAAACACAAAAATTTTAGCTCAAGGATATGGTTATTAGGCCCTAGCCAAACTCAGAGCAGAAGTGTCCTAGCCATAACTATAAGTAGAATGATTGCTAAAAGGATGTTGGGACATGTAAGGGTTAAGTAGAGACCTGGGAAACCGCTGATGTGCAGACATGGCATTAGGGGTACAGGCAGGCACCGCTTTTGCGCTTGATAGATAAAGTGCTACCCCCTCCCTTCCCTTCTGCTTGCTAAGGATTGATAAGCGCTGCAGCTGCATAAGGAATGCGTAAAGCAATATTGTCTCCCCCTCCCTTTTATTTCCAGCTAGCTAAACGAGCTCAAGCTTCCTCCCTTCCCTGCAAACTGCTAATTAAGGGAATTTGTGGCTGCAATTATTGCAAAGAAATGTATTTTCAAAATAAAAATGTCTGTAGAATACGCTTAATGCTGTAAACAGGGGCGGGGATAATTATATTCACTGTATGGCGTTCATATTACTCAAGAAGGGTTTTGGAGGTACTGTAATAAATGTAGGTATTTACATACTAACTTAAATAAAAAGAGTGTGCTGTAACTAATTCAGTGCTTACTCAACAATTGGGTCGAAGGGAACAAGTACCGCAATAAAGAAGCCCGTTTACTCAATCCGCCTCTGGGTCTCCCTGTTCTTCTTCTAACAAAGGATTTCAGCCATGTTTCCCTAACTCACATGGACTGGGATTTTCCTCTCTTCCCATCTCCCCCAAGAACCATATTCACACACACATTTCTAGTCAGGTACTGTTCTCATCTTGGTATGGACAGTGTCCCACCATTCAAAAATGTTTAAATCAGCTGTAAGTTTTGCCATGTCTTAATTTCCCTTTAAAAAGTTGAGGGGCTTTGTTGCTCACAGAACTTACTCCATGAAAGACTGAATTCCACTGGCAGTAAGTACATACCAAAAGGTCCGTATCCTCCTCCAAACCTTCATCCTCCTCCTTTTCCTCATTCAGGTCCTTCATGCACTCTGCAGCCATCTTTTCAATATGATCCATGGGTAAAGGGGCTGGAGAAGGCAACCAAAAGGAGACAAGCATACTGTTGGATGGTGCAAACCTAAACCATGAGCATACTGATTGGAAAAGAACTGTGAGTTCACTTGTCACTTTTCCCTTTCAACTACAGGCAGTGTTTTCTAGTCAGCAAGAAAGTAAAGCTGGCGAAGTAATTCCCATGCCTTTTTTGGCTGAAGCCCCACCACTTGCAATTGATCAGTGCCTTCTGCTCCATCTCCCTTGTCCTGTCACTCCATCCCCTGGTACATTTGCTGTATCTCTATTACATTCTTTTCCTCTCTCTGTTTTATGCTTCTTCCTTTTTTCCTTTTCTGTGCATTTCCCTGATTTTGATTTATTTTGTTGTCTCTGCTCTCTTTCTCTGGTCCTCCCACCTCTGCTCCACTTGACTACATGTTCTCCCTCCTCTGTTGCGTTTTCACTACATTGTGTTGCAGATTGTCTGAAGGAAAATGTGCTGTTTAGTGCCACCTATAGAAATATGTGGGTGAGGGGAATGAGGGAGAGAACATGCAGCCTAAAGCTCACCACAGCAGATGAGGAGTTCAGGCATACAACTTGATAATTCTGGAGCTTTGACAACTGGCAGGAATGTCAGTTACACATGAAAGAGCTTTTCTTTTTCTTTTAAGAGTAAATTGAATCATGGAGACTATTACTGTCAACCGTACTTATGGTCAAAAGGAATTTTATTTCTAGAAAATTTAGTCTTCCTCCACAAGAACAAGGGGTCCATGAACCTTGAAATGTGCCTCTACTCTACTTCCCTTGTTATATCTGGTGCATTTTTCTTGCCCAGTTGTGTTTAATGGAGTTCTCCAGAGAATAGTGAACATGCAGATTTCCATAGGGATAGGTAGAAGTTTGTATGCTGGCAATTGCAACCTGACCAGATTCTCTCCGTGCTCAATAAAACACATGCTCACACTCTGTGCTCTCATTTGCACTACAGAAACAGATTCAAACTATTCATTTTCCTTGTCCCCTTGTCAAACAACGGCCTCTGCAACCCAGAATCAGTAGCAAGTAAAAAAGAAACAACGTGGGTGAGGTAATATCTTTTACTGGGCCAACTTCACCACACGCTTTCACCACAGAAGGTGGTCCAATAAAAAAAGATATAGTCTTGTCTCTCTAGTATCCTGGGACCAACATGGCTAAAACAACAGTGAAAACAGGATGTAAAAGTACATTTTAAAACTTTTCCTAAGCATTTACAATATTGGAAACAGCCAGATTTACAACTATGAAGGATCAAGGTGTAAAATACTCAGGTAAGACAACTTGAGATGCCTGGCTCCTACCTCACAGTGGTTATACCCTGGTGTAACTCCATTTACTCCTGACTTACACCCACACGGGACATAGCACAATCAAACCTTACATAGATTACGAGTTGCTTAGAGCAACTTGTAACTTAAAACAAATTAAACTAGCTGTTACCACTTGAACGTGCACCCTTAACTGTACTTATTAAGCCACTGGCTTCAGAAGCTATGCCTCTAGTGCAGAGCTGAGTTAACCGAGCTTGAGTGAGAGCAGCCACACTGAGAAATAATACTTAAGCTGCACAGTAACTGTTTTAGCAGTTGACATGTTGTGCTAACTTGAGTTGCGTTCTATACTTCTTGACGGGCCAGCCAACTTGAGCTAAAAGCATCACCACACTCCAGTTAAGGGGTTTTATACATGGATGGGACTTGAGTTAGGGGTAACACTGGCATTATAACTCAAGTTAACTCTGTAGTGAAGACAAACTCCTAGTAGCCCTCATGCAACATGATCCCCTCTCTGCTCATGATTCACATAGTATCCATCCCATAGATCCCAACATTACACTTCCTACTACATTCAGCTTCAAACATTTCTCTATTTATATTTTCTTCCAAATCCTGAAATATTGTTACTATTTGTATTGCAGTAGAACCTAATGGCCCCAACTGAGTTCAGGGCCTCATTGTGCTAGGTGCTGTTCATAAACAAAGCAAGAAACAAATCACTACAGAGAGTTTACTGACTAAATAGACCAGAGACAAAGTGTGGGGAAAAGGAATAAACTCAATTTTATAGGTAAAGAATGAGTTACAGAGAGCTTTAGCCCCTATCATGCGAAAAGGGCTACACACAGGTGACCCCTGCACCCATGTGTAGAACATTTAAATCAATCACTTGGGATGTCAGTGACTAGCTCAAGATCACCCGAATTCCATGGAGGAGTGAGGAATTGAACCTAGTTCACTTCTTTACCCAAAAGATCATCTTTCTTCTCTGTTTAAACTGTGCACATATTAATCAATTCCAGGCAGCTCTCATCTGCAGAGAAAGATACAACCACCAGAGTCCAGCAGGAGAACGGAAAAAATAATAATTCACTACTAACCCAATACCAGATGCACACTGAGCAATACAAACCACCTGCTTGCTACCAAAGCAAAAAGTGTGGACAACGTTTCAGAACAGTAAACAGATTTTGTTTGTTTCTTTAAGATTAACAAAGAATCTTTGCCATCAGATAGGCTTTCCCCTTCAGCTTCGTAGCACTAACAAATGGCCCCATAATTCACAGCATACAAAGTAAGTACTGCAAACCAAAATGCATTGCCACTGGGGAAGGCTTCCCCTCTTCAATCCATAGAAGTGTCACAAGCCAAGCTGAATATTGGAATTTAGATCTGTCACACAAGTCAGAGAATATTGCCCCTCATTCCCCCTCCGCCTACCCAAGATGCTGCTGTTCTGATCATCTTCCTCTCCTATTGTCTGAGCAAGTTCTCTTCTCATCTCCTCACTGGCCACTGGCTCCCCTCCTCTCCTATTTCTGTTTAAGTTTCCAATTCTAATCCTCCTCTTGAAAACTCTACCCAACTCCTCCCCCGCTTAACCCTCTGATCTCACCTCCACCTATGCTCATTGTGCCTTGTGTCCAACCATCTCTCCTAATTGCTCCATTTTGTATTCTATACTCATTCCCAAATATGTGCCTTTTTCCCCACCACTACCTACACCCTGTTTAAACTAGTCTTATTCTTCCTCCTGCATAGACATGGGCCAGATTCTGCCCTCAGTTATACAAGGATTTCACCTATAGCCTTAATTCCAGAAAAACAGGGATGCAATGCTCAAGCAATGCCACTGCTGACAAAGGTGCTGCTCAGACATGAGGAAAACATTTGATACCTTCAGTGGGCATAACAAATACTGACTCATAAAACCTTACAGAGATGTTGAGGATTAATCTTCATTCTACAGATGGGAAACAGTGAAAAAAAAATATTAAGTGACTTCATGAGCTCCAAAGAAAGAGTCTGTGTTGGAGATGGAAATAGAGCTCAGAAGTTCCTGGTTCCCAGACTTACGCTCAAACAACCAGACCTTACCTGTACGTTATACAGGCAGTAGCGACAAAAGATAAAAATTAAAACCCAGTGCGACTGAAAGTGCCCACAGGAAACTCACAGAGAGAAACAGTGGATTTGATGACACAAAGGGTATCTATCTCTTCATACACAGATCTAGAACACATCCCCTTAGACTCAGGATATTATCAGAATTACTGATCAAGACCTTTATTTAATGCTTTCTAAAAGTCATTAGTAATAAGAGCTAGAAAGGAAAAGTCAGTTATAGGATTCTTTAATTCAAACAACAGGATTTTTTATTTGATGGCCAATTTTAAAAAAATATATACAATTGTACTTTGATCCAACAGAATTTCTATTAAAAGTAAGATTTAAAAAGGGAACAGACTCAAGAAATAGCTGCATCAACTTATTTCAGATACTTTAAAATCTTCTGCGTTCGTTACTCTTCAAGGGTAACTATTATCTTGAAAACTAGCCAGTATCAAAATGAATTCAAATTTAGTTTCAGGTACTACACACTTGCCTCTGAGTCTTCCTGCCAATTATTATTGTGATTTTACCATCACATTTTCCTGTGTATTTATAAATTTTCCTCTCCCTTGTTATGTGAACATCCCACACAAACAGCATAGGAAAATGACTGTACAAGAAACAATGAAACGGATTATACACAAATGCAGTCAAATACACCAAGTAAACAAACTCTCAGGTTTCCAGACTTCATTTAAGGTCAGAAAGGCCCATTTTAATAATCTAATCTGATCTCCTGCATAACACATGGCAAAGAATTTTACCCAGTAATTCCTACATCGTGTCAATAACTTCTGGCTGAGCTACAGCATATTTTCTAGGAAGATATCCAGTCTTGATGTAAAGACTGCAAGTGATCGACAGTCCACCACACCTCTTGGTAAATTATCTTGTTCCCTCACTGTTAAAAAAAACAACTGAACCTTATTTCCAGTCTCAATTTGTACAGCTTCAGCTTCCAGCTACTTGATCTTGGTATGCCTTTGTATGCTAAATTAAAGAGCCCTCTACTCTCAAAAATCTTCTCCCCATGTAAATGTGACACCCTGTACCCCACGTTCACCATTTTTATACGATTACGCTATATTTTGTATAAAGTATGCCTTGTGAAGTATCATTTGAAAACTCAATCTGCTGAATATTATTATTTTCCTGTTGATGTGTGTGTAACAACACTGCATATAAAATTATGAGATTCTGCTATATGATTGTTACTGAAATATGCTGTAGTTCTGGGTAACGCCCACAAACCAATTTCTCAGAGACACACCAGCATGCCAGCAAGGTGCTAAAGTGCCATTAGCTGCTTAACTGGCCATCCACCAGCAGGGGAGAAGGTATAGACAAGAAATTTACATTGCATCCCAGAGACAGTTGGAATCTCAGGTATATAGGGGACTGTTTGTCTACACACCGGCATGGGGTAATCCTCAAAGAGAGGAGGAGGATATAAAATGAGACAGTGACCTCCACATCACCCCTCTCTTCCTCTCATCTCTCTGCCCATGGCATCAACAAATATCTGAAGAACGCTGAACTGGGGGAAGGATCTCTAGCTGAAAGGAAATCCAACCTGTGTATTGTTGCAACTTATGGTGAGAGACATTTTGCTTTCAAGTTCATTTAGGTATTAGCTTGCAGTTTTATTTTTGTATTTCTTTTGTAACCAATTCCGCTTTTATGCCATACCACTTGTAATCACTTCAAATCTATCTTTTTCTAGTTAATAAACTTGTTTTACTGTTTTATCTAAACCAGCGTGTTTGGATTGAAGTGTTTGGGAATCTCTATTTAGGATGACATGGCTGCAGCATAATCATTACCCAGTGTTGGAATGATGTACTTACTGTGAGCTTACACTGTCCAGGAGTATACAGAGCAGTGCAAGACGCACATTTCTGGGGAACAAAGCTGGGGCTAAGACTGTGAGGGTGTCCCCCTATATGTAATTCATGGATGGCTGGGAGAGCATTCATGTATTCAGCTGGGAGTGATTTTGCATACTAAAGGCTGTGTGAGCAGGCCAGGAGTGGATCTTCTGACTGCAAAGCAGTGTAAAAGGCACCCCAGGCTAGAGAACTAAAGGGACACAGCTGTTCAACAGTCCAGATTGTACCCTGGGGAATGTCACAGAAGGTATTTAAATACCGTGAGCAAGTCACCTCTTAACTTTCTCTTTGAACATCTCAGGGGCGTACCCAGGATTTTAAATTTGAATACTTTTGGAGGGGCACGTTAAACACACGCAAATGAAAGGTTCATGTGACCCTACCCCCGGTTTCTTGGGCCGCCTCTGTCAGGGACACCCAGTAGCGAGGAGGCAGCAGCTCCCCCTGCAGCAGTACTCTCCGTGTCCCTGCAGCCTGGGCAGGGAGGAAGCAGCAGGGCAGCTAGCTGCAGGGTCCTCCCCCCACCCCTGCAGCCTGATGCTTCTCTTTCCCTGCTGCTGGAGTCCCAGTGTTGCTGCCTGCTTTATAGCTGCTCTCTGAGGTGAGTCAGGGGCTGGAGGCAGAGGCAACACGTGGGACTCCAACAGCAGGGAAAGAGAAGCAGCAGGTGTAGCTTTAGGGATAGGGAGGAGGAGGAGCTCATCTGGTAGCCAAACACCCTGCTGCTCCCTCCCTCTCTGGGCTGCAGAAACACATGCAGATTTTTTGGGGGGCCGGTGCCCCTGCTTGCCCCCCCTTGTGCACGCCCCGATTACATCTTAAATCTTTCACTGTAAAGCAGATACAATGCAGAAAAAATATTTCTCTAATCTCTGAGTTATATAGTAATCTTAGGTGTTACTTGTAACAACCATAGAGGAAAAGAATCTAGAAGGGAAGTGTGATTTGTAACATTATATCCCTTTTATTTACATAAATAACACAGCTCTTCAGTCAGCAAGAACCAGGAGCAATGACTTACTTTTCCCTTTGGGTTTTGACTTCCCTTCTGTCACCTTCTCTCCTGTGAGAGCAGCAAGCTCTGCTTCTAGATCCTCATCACCACCACCATCCTCAATATCCAGCAACATTGCTTCAGGATTGAAATCTACGAAGAGCCCCAGCTGGAACCAAGGGAAAATATTCTAGTAAGAACAGAGACATCACTCACACCATCACATCACCTGGGTTATTTAAACATCTCAGTGGATTCTGAATTCAAAGATAATGTGGGTTCTGGCTGGGAGTTTTTAACCACAATCCCCTGGAATTTTGACTAGCTATATAACACAAACAAGATATACACATAACTGAAACCAAATACACCTCTTTTGGGCAGCAGAGAATAAACCCCCTCTCAGGCCTGCACTTAATCAACCTGAATCTTTTATGAATAGGAATAGTTGGTATTTGAAATAACAAGGTAAAATAATTCTGTTAAGACTTGCTAAGCAGAAAATTTAATCAGTAAGGTTCCTATTATAACCGAAGCTATCAAATATATTTGATTATTATTCCTCATATTACCCAGGTATTCTAAACTTGGACACAGGGAAGATTTCATCTTGAACTTTCATACATATCCACACATTTCACCTCAAAAGGTCCATCACTTTGTAAACGATATACACAAAGGAATCATTTCACCCACTGATGTGCAGCCACCTCTTGTGTAGAACCAGCAACAGTTTAACACTGTACTGCACCAATACACAGCTGTTTAGAACAGGAAGCAAATACTACCATGGGCAATGGAAACTACAGAGTGAATTGAGTAGGAAGAATATTAATTGTATAAATTAGCATTTGACCAACACACTAGGGTAAACTCCCCTACTGTTGCAAAAAGTGACAAAGGACTTTAACATACAACGGTGAGGACTTCTGTTTTGTCTGATCTAAAAGATAGAACTTCCATAAGTACAGTAATCCAGGACACTGCAACACTGGTTCAGTACTGACTCCAAAGTGTCACCCACTGAAATATGAAAATAACTTCCTTGAATGTTTCCCATCATAGTATTGTCCCGCAGAACTTATTAGAGTTGACGAATCACAGCCCAAAATGATAAGGATGAAAAAAGGTTTACTGTTGCTTAGCTTTTACCCGAAACTATATAAAGAAATTCTACTATAAACAAAAATAATGCTGCACAATCCAAAATGCAACCTTCTTGAAGAATGTATCATGATATGTGATGCATAAACAATGAAACATATCATTTGTTTCTATGAGATTTATAAATACAGAAAAATGTATTACTTTGACAAGGTGAAAGAGGTAATATCTTTTATTGAACCAAGACGACAATCACAGGCCTGGTATATATAAGTTAGGTTGACATAAGCATTCTTGTGTTGACATACTAGCACGTGTCTACACTTAAATTGGTCTCCCACTAATGTAACTGCTCTGTTATGCTGACATAGTAACCCTAACAATCTGAGTGGCGTTAAACCAAGGTCAACGCAAGTTAAGCTGACAATCAAAAACCGGCATAATTACATCACTTGTGCATGTTCACACAATGTTCCTTCTGTCAGCAGAGCGTGTCCACAGTTAGTGCTCTGGCATCGACAGTGAGAGCAGTGCATTGTGGGTAGCTATCCCACCTTCCGCAGCCAGGAGTTGTGGGAAGGCGAAGTGGACTGTAGTGCATCATGGCTGCAAGCTCAATGTCCCATGATGCAGTTTTTTCCATCCCAGCATTCCGACTACATTCTGCAGCATTTTTCAACAGCCCCTGTTTACTGTGCACATGCCATCTCTGTTTGAAAGGATGGGTCCTGCACTGCTTTCTACAGTTGTGGTCACTGTTATGAACACATTGCAGTTGGTCATGCAGAATATCATAAGCACCCAATCTGAACAGAAATCAAAGTTGTCTGACCTGCTGCATACCATGGAAAGAAACACCACCAGATTACTTTTGGCATTCATGGTGCAACGGAACACAGTGGACCATCACTTTTGGGTGCAAGAAACAAGCACTAAGTGGTGGGATCACATCATTATGCTGGTCTGGGATGATGAGCAGTGACTTCAGATTAGTTTTATAGCTATATTAGAAAATGAATTATTGTTTGGTTATTTCATTTATCAAAGGTAATTGAAGCAGATATTTATGAAGCCATTGGGAGGTGAACTATCTCCAATTCAACAGGTTAATCATTAATATTTGGAGGATTTTCTTGCCATGTTGTATCAGGAGGAGAACACCACCAGATAGACATTTAAATTGTTTTATTTAACTAAAACAACAAAGTTTTCTGGATTTTTTTCTTCAACAGCAAACATACAATATTTTAACAAAACAAGCATATGTCCCTCGCTTCTCTCATCTATCTCCAGACTTCTTCTCCTTGTCCAGATCTATTCCCCCCACACCAATCTTCTATTCATTGAATTTTTTGAAACTTTGAACTTTTAGAGAGAGGTAAGGGATTGACTCTGTGTATACAAATTTGCAGAGGGACAATAGAGTTGAGGTCTGTTATTTCTCACTTCTATATATTAATTTATTTATTTAAAAATGTTTTTGCTGTTAACAAGCATGTTACCTCTGGAGACACAAATCCACAGTCTGATAACTGAATAACTAAGCATCTCTGATGGTATCTTCTAGACTGAGCACAGAGTCCCATTGGGTAGATAGAAAAATTAACCTAAATAATCTATACAGAAGTCTGTGGAACCCCATAAGATTGGGTCCCTAATCCATGAACTATTGGAACTCATTTACAAAACTTCTTAAACATTACATGAATCTATTGTCTCATCCTATAGAATTAGGATTTATAATCCGTATTCCATGATGAGATATCTTTGAGCTATAATGTGTCTTAATTAAAACTATCTTTAGATAGGTTTTTTCCCTCTCAAAAAGTATTTTATCAAAAAAATCTGATAAAAAAAAAATCATTGATTTTTATCCACCTTGGGGACTGCCATGGCAGGGGAGACCCCCTCTTTCCCAGCCCCAGCTCAGGAGCTGCCACAGCAGGGGAGAGAGGTAGAGTCCCCCCTCCTTCTGAGCCCCAGTTCAGAGGCTGCGGCAGTGAGGGAAAGAGGGCACGTCTATCGCATTAGAAAGGTAAGACTATGGATATTAAAATATGAGTTGTGTGCTTTTATTTGTAGAACAAAAAAAAAGTTAATTATTATTAAGTTGGGGTTTTTTATATAGCGCTTTTATCCAAAGCGCTTTACAATAGTTAGCTAACGGTACAAACAGCATTTGGAAGGATCATTAAGTGGTCCTCCAAGACCCTCAGCAATTTTCAAGCAGTCTGCGAAAAAGACAGTTTGAGAACCACTGCCCTACAGGACGCAGCACAAGATTGAAAGCCCTTATTTACTAATCCTGTCTCTGCCATTAATTCACTGCATGATGCTGGAAAAGTAATTTTACCTCCCAATGCTTCAGTTTCTCCCCTTCTCCCCACACAATTCCCACCATCTGTGAAATGGGGCTAATGCTGCTTCCCACTGCTCAAGGAAGCAGGAGGAGATTAGCAATTGTTTACACAGTGCTTTCAAGATGCAAAGCTCTATATAATATTACGTACCTTTCACAAATGGGTAAACTGAGGCCAAAGTGTATGTGATTTGCCCACTGTCCCATAGCAAGTTAGTTGTGAAGCCAGCAATAGAATCTCGGGGTATTAGATAAAGTTTTCACCCCTCTACACAGCAATTAAACACCGGCTGCTAGCCCAGTTCAGCTGACTGGGGCTCAGGGCTGTAAAACTGTGGTGTACACATTCAGGCTTGGGCTGGAGCCCGAGCTCTAGGACCCCGCGAGGGAGGAGGTTCCTTGAGCCCAAATGTCTACACCACAATTTTACATCTCCGCTGCCAGTTAGCTGACACAAGCCAGTCACAGGTGTTTAATTGCTGTGTACACATGCCCTAGGAGTTCTGGCTAGAACTTCCTTGTTGTGTGCAGTAAACCACACTTCTTTTGAAGTCAATGAATATCAAACAAGTGCTTTAAATAGGAAGGAAAAGAGGGGAGACAAAGACAGGCCTGAACCAGGAAGAAATGCAGTGAGCATACTGTAAAGCACAAATGAGCTCTACAGAACATGCTCATTTATAGCTGGAAAAGACACTGGAGAATATATTGTTGGAAACAATCTTACATTTGCCAGGATATGAACTGAATGGTTTAAATATTCTTTTCCTATTTTCGATCCTATAGGGCTGATCAGGGCCTTTGATTTACTGGTTATCCCTTTACATTTTATTTCTTTTAAATTTCTTTGCTTCTTTTGATCTTTGTATTTTTTCTTGGTCCAAATGAAATAAATAAAATGCATATATTTTAATTTAGACATTTAAACTCTAGTGCTACAGTAATGGTAGCATTATGAATACACTGACATGCACATAGCAAGAAAAGACATAAGTAGTGCTAACGTGGTGGGAAAAAGCACCTAAGCTCAGCTCCTATGCACTTAGAGCTCTGATTCCAACTAATCCGAATTCATTTAGGAATGGACTGAGAATCGAACAGCTGTACCATTCTCTCTCTACTACAAACACATTAGCCCCTATTCCAGTAACCCCCCCCATTTTAGCCTCCAGTTCAGTCTACCTTTCAAGTGTATCCAAACCAAAGCCAAGGTCTCCCAATCTTGCCTTGATACTCCGTTTCCCTATTTCATCTCCACATTTGCTTCCCCCTCTCCTGAATATAACTCAAGCTTCTTTTCATTTTCAAAGCCTTAATAATTTCATTCCCTGCCTGTGTCTCACTCCTCATTTCTGGATGCACCCCTTCTTAGATTGGATACTCTCTTGACTCCGCATTTTGGCTTCTTCTTGTACTTCTGACACTGTCACACTATCTCCTAGTTTGCACAGTTCAACAAAGCCATGCATTCCTAAAAATATAACTATCCCACAAAGCGTTCCTCCTATAAGGACTCTCCCACACTTTGTTCTGTAGGGCACTACATTCTGATATTTTAAGATTAAAATTTCATCACAGCACAATCCACTTATCGCATATACTCAAATGTACATGGACCTGCTGTTAACAGCCACAGACAAACACCTATCTGGACTCAGTATCCCTGCATAGAAGTAATAAATACAACAGTGGAGCACAGGCAATGACAGTCCACAAACCAACACCAAACTTCATATAAACAGAACAGAGGGAACTACATTAAAACTACTTGTCTAAGTAGTGGTAGGATTTACTCTTCTCTCAGAGGATCACCCAGTGCAGCTAAGATAGTCACTAACCATTCTGATTTTCACAGGTCTGTCTTTGAGAGATGTTATAACAATTCTGATGTGAGCTTGGGCAGGACCTTATTATAATTGGGTTGCAAGGCAAAGCTCACAATGTTGTGACAGGATGAATTTTATCTTGTAGCAAGTCTGTCTGTATTTTTAATGCCTTAATCAGCATGATATCTGGATGTCAGGTCTCTACTACTAGAAGATAAACTAACTAGAGTGTGAAAGCAGAGGACAACTAACTGTATAGCAAGGTTTGTAGGATACCCTGCAGCTCTGGAATCATGTTAGCCCAAGAAAGAATCACAAAGCGGGACCCCAAGTGTGCAAGTTTTTAACCAGACTATGGTGTGAGAGAGGAGGTTTCTGTACCTGCTTTGCAGCAGCAGCTCCCTGGCCCTTTGCCTGGGGACTTTTCCTGGGTCTTCTCCCAAGCATGTTGGCTCATGAATCTCAAACAATTCTACCTTTAATGGACACAAAAAGAATCCCACACATACATAGGTTAAGTCACGGACATCCAACTGTGATACATGACAGAAGCCTATAAACCAACCTAATCCAATCTGAAAGGTGGGCATAGCAGCCTGTAGCCCCACAGATTACAGCTCCATACCAAAGGCTCCACCCTGTAACCACCCCCCAGGGTCACCATACCCAACCCCATAACCCCCCCCACCCCGGATTACTACATCCACTCCACAGAGCAGGGACACCAGCCTGTAACCACCAACCCATGGTTACGATACCCACCCAGACCAGCACCACCCTGTAATCCCACACCAGGGATATTATACCCACCCAGAGACACCACTCTGCAACACCCCCAAGTTACTAAATCCCTCCCCAGACCTGGAACCGGGTACAGGAACCTGTCCCCCCTCCTCCCTGAGCCAGGCACAGGAGCCTGTCCCCCCTCACTCCGGGTTCTCCTCCTCCCTGAGCTGGGCACAGGAGCCTGTCCCCCCTCACCCTGGGTCTCCCCCTCCTGAGCAGGGTACAGGAACCTGTCCCCCCTTCCCCTGGGTTCTCCCCCTCCGAGCCGGGCACAGGAGCCTGTCCCCCCCCACCCTGGGTCTCCCCCTCGAGCCGGGCACAGGAGCCTGTCCCTCCAGGTTCCCTCCCCGGAAGCCGTCCCCAGGAGCCGGTCTCCCGCGCGGGTTCCTTCCCCCCTCCCGGACCTGGAGCCCGGCACAGCGGCTAGAGCTCCCTGTCAGGACAAGGCGGGTGGAGACAAGCAGCGGGCACCGCCCTGTAAATAACCGACTCCCTCCCCCCGCCACGCGGGGCAACGGGGCCTGTGCAGGCTCCGGGGAAGGGACAGAGGCGACAGCCGGCCTCCGCCCCCGCACACGGCGTGACTGGCCTACCCTGCCCGGCACGCCCAGCCCCAGCGCACGGGAGACCCTGAAGAGACGCGCGCCAGCGCTCGCCGCCACTCCACACCAGGACGCGGCTCCAAGCTCAGCGCGCACGCAGGCGCAAAGCGAAAAGGGGCGGGGAAAGAAGCCACGGGGGCGGGGTTATGAGAAAGGGGCGGAGCAGAGGAAGGGAGGACCATAAGGATGGGGTAGGTAGGGTGGCATTTTAAAG